ATCTCTCATTGCCCCTTGCCTCCTTGGCATGACCTGGGCTGGGTCCCATACCAACCTGTGCCTCAAGCGAAAGCAAAGTTTGATACAGGTCCTTGTGCAGGGCAATGCAAAACCTGGGGAATTCCCAATGTCTTGGGCCTCCAAGCAAGGACCAGCACCAGGTCCCAAGCAAATTGTGCTTCACACAGAAGCACAGGGCCATCTGGATCTCAGTGTGGAGGCATGCTTACAGAGATGTGTCCCCGGAGATCCTGGGGCGAGCCTCCAAAAGTGGGGACCATGCCCCTGAATAACATGCGAGATTCCCTGGGGCACATCTTTGTAAGGGGGGGCCTGGAGCTCATCTCTAAGTTGGGGGAGAGGGGAAGCTGGGCATTTGCTCCAGTCTGAAGGACCAAATTCTGGATAAGAATTCCTTGGGTGTGCAGGATCAGTAAAGCAGAATAAAGCATCATTATTTTTACACTATGTTTCATTACAGCCATTGATGTGGTGTGACAAAGGGTAGGGATGTCTATTTGCTTGCTATCTGTGGTGCCATAAAAATTAGGCAACGTCTGTTTCTACCCTCAGTATCCTTTGTTATTGAAGACGACTTGTTGCTTCCTCCTAAATGCCTTCTGAGCATAAGTGGACAATTTCCTTGCTTGCTCGGTACCAGACTCATATGTCTGAGAGACACTTGAGTGCTCATTCATTTGCCCTGTCATCAGATCAAGAGGAGTACCCACAGCTTCCCCAATAAATTTTTCTAACCTGACGGTTCAAGAACCATAGCTTAGGAGGAGGGAGAAAGGAAAGATAAAACTGGCTTATTATTCTAGCTAAGGGGCGGGGGGGAAGGGGCTAGTATTTTCTGTTTTGTCATCTGATCCCACGGCCATCGATGTTAACAAAATTTACTGTTTACTTTGACAAAAGCAGGATCAAGTCTTGACAACAATATAGGAAATTAACCCAGCAAATAGTCACATTTTATAGGAAAAATATTAAAATTTCAAAATGTAATGCAGAGAATGGATAGGGACTTCTCACAGAAATTCTTTTGAGTTTATCCAGCAATGTGAATCAAACTATAGCTCTTTTGAAAAAAAGAATTTAAACATGTAAGAGTTCTGGAAAATTCATCAGAAAAGTTGAAACAGCCACCCGTGTTACTCACATGTCTGCTTCCTTTTGTCTAGATTTTTCTGTGACTTTGTTTATAACAGAGTCGTCCAGATTTAGCCTATCTGAAAAACACACAGAGAAGTGCACATCAAAGGTTTTCTATATTCAAAATTGCAGCTGCAATTCTGTTGTCAGCAGAGATCGCTCACACACGTTATTCAAGGAACAGAAAAATACAGATAACAATCAAGTTTTTAAAACATATACCATAGGGGCACATATTCATTTAGCATCCTGTACGCATCTGAGATCTAATCCAGAAATAAAGGACAGCAACATGGCTATTGCTTTGAAGACGAAATGATGCCTAGAGACGCTATCCATCAGACAACGCGTTATTCGTAAACCTCTGTCCTTCTCTCTCAGAAGGTATGCATCCCTGGCTGTTTTCCAACAGACAGCATAAGCAATAACACCTTCTGTTAAGTAATCAAAGGGAAGCTGCAACTTCCCTTCTCAACAATTATGATGTCCATCGTGTTATGGCCAAGTGTGTAACACCTGTTGTGTTTGCCTAAAATAATTCAATGCACTGCTCTAATTCCTCATTTTGATTACTTGGAGCATGAAAGACTTTAAGTAAAGTAAATGTACCTAGACATAAATTTACTGGTACAAAATACAATGGTATGCTATACAGCAACATGACCACCATCACTGCACGCACATGTGCATGGTGGCTGGATGGACTGCAAAACAGGTTGTTTCTTGGCTGAAACTAGAAGAATTACCTCATAGGGAGGCCATAAGGACAGAGAAAAGCTGGCTTTGAAGGAAGAAAAAAGCTTCACAAAATATATTATGCCAACAGGAAGTATGAAGGTAACATCAGATGTTAAACCTTTCAACTCTCTGGGAACAGTCAGGTAGCTCTGCTTCCTACAACTAATCAAAATTGGTCAACAGCGGGTCAGAGATACCTAATACCATAAAACATGATAGGATTATACTCACCTAGATTAATTTTATGCTCAAATTTTCTTAAAGCCTTGTCTGTAGGAGTGGACATTTTTGCTGAATTGCAACTAGGGATCTGTCTATTTGCCTGAAACAAAGGATTTGTTATATAATTCACCTTCCCTAGATGGCCTTTCTAAATATATACAGTAGCTTTGGGGGAGGGGGGGAATAAATCAATATTATAATCATGTATCTAAACCACCGGTACACTTATCCTCATTTACAAACAAATGTTATGAGGAAATTGACATGGAATATAATTAGAATCAATATAATCTAAGCGAATCCAGCATCTGGGAGATTAAAAATTCCTAATAGCTGAGTGCCGCCCCAGTAGGATTCTTTTTAGTTTGGGGCTAAAAAGGGAACGGGAACATGAGGATCAGGAAAAACAGGAAGCAAAGCACCCAGGGAGATGGAGGGAACACTAAGAGAGAGATGCAGAGGGCACAAAGAAGGACAAAGTAGTATGCCTGGCTTACCACAGATAAACTGATTCCCATCCCTTCCCCACCAGCACTTCAGCATGAGCTCCTAATTTCAAATACTCATTAACTCCTGATTCCCAGGAACTTTTTCAGAGCTCAAAAAACAGTACCAGACACATGCCAAACCTGCTACAACAATGACACGGTCCCTGCTCCCAAATACTCTGATGAGGTACTTGTATGCCAATAAAAAGAGACATTTTCTGCTTTCACTGCCAAAGCCCCAAGTATAAAGGAAATTGGTTTTGAAGTTGTACTTATAGTTGAGTGGTACGGCAAAGACAAATTCCCTTCTAAACCATTCACCTCTAATGTGTTTTTCAAAAGTTCTTTGCCTATATTATTATCAATCCAAATACAATATTGCTTCCCCATCCTGGGCAGGTTAAGCACACTGTCTTATATCTAGTGGGAAGAGAGTGGATATGGGTTACACGGTACACTCTGGGCATGTAAGGAAGAGAAACATATCAGAAGAGTACTTTCTTCCAAGTGTCAGGAGAGGACTGGATCTGCATTTATTCTTGGTGTCATACAAAACCAGCATTTTGCCCCCAACAGTCCCATTTGTTGTTAGAGTCTCAGTAATGCCTTTTTTACCTGTGGGTTGCACCCTCCAATAGTAGCGTGCCGCTTGGTGAGTCTCCCAGCTGCATCATCCCAGTCCCAGTCTTCATCCTCATCATCGTCATCATCATCCTCCATTTCATCAGTGTCCACTTCCTCATTCAAATGTGGCTGCTGATTTTCAACCTTTATTGCCTCTTCTTTGGTTGTTTTGATGTCTTGTGTATATTCACTTAAAAAAAGAAAAAGCAATGTACCAATCTACACACAAACTGTGTTCTACTGCAATCAGCAAAAAATCTATAGCTATCCAGCCTATTATTGCTTTGTATTGTGCCATGTTAGGAGCTTAGCTGAGAAGTTCTCCAACAAGACTGGTCTAGAGAAGTCTAGAGAAGAGGAGACTGAGAGGGTATTTAATAGCAGCCTTCAACTATCTGAAGTGGTTTTCGAAAGAGGTTGGAGCTGGACTGTTCTCAGTGGTGGCAGATGACAGGACAAGGAACAATGGTCTCAAGTTGCAGCAAGGGAAGTTAAGGTTAGATACTAAGAAGAATTTTCTCACTAGAAGGGTAGTAAAATACTGGAACAAGTTACCCAGAGAGGTTGTGGATTCTCCATCCTTAGAGGTTTTTAAGACCCGGGTAGACAAAGCCTTGGCTGCAATGATCTAGTTGGGGCTGGTCCTGCTTTAAGCAGCGGGTTGGACTAGATGCAACCTCCTGAGGTCGCTTCCAACCCTAATTTTCTATGATTCTAAGACTTTACTTGGGGACTCCAGGAAGCTTGCAGGGATAACCTGGCCTGAACTACTAGCCTACCTTGCTTTACAAGCAGTGACCCTGACAAGGAGTCTTCTGGAAGGTATGAGGCCTCCTGCACCAGAGCCTGATCACAGTGGTTTATCATGTTTCCAACAGGACTAAGTGTGGCTCCAACCAAGCTATGACATAGGGGGACAAGAAGGGAATGTTCTCCACCGCCCTTCCCCAAAACCTCTGGGGCCTGCTACACCATCAAATGAAAGCAGAATAGAAACCAGTTATACAGGTGTTACACACTGTCAAGCAATAACTTCAGAGCGGATTAGCTCATTTTATAGCCAGGCTTTGCATGCGATTGCTTTTCTGCATGTGCAGCCGGGCTACATTTATTGTGCAATTAGCCAGTGAATTGTGCAGCAATTACTTTGCACATCCGGCTGGGCTACATTTATCGTGATTCCCCAGCAAATGTTGTGCTACTTTGCACGTGCAGCCAGCTGGACTTCATTGTACCATTTGCCACCCAACTGCGTGACCGTGACTTGGCACAGCAGGGGCGGACCACATTTGCCACAGGATTTGCCAACTACTTGCGTGATACTTGTAACGTATATGCTGTATACACGATAGAAAGACTTCGGGGATGTTACGTACGTGCCAGCAAAACAGCATCTTTTCCATTTGACACGCTTTATTTGGTTTAGGACTTTCGAGCTGAGCGCTTCACATCCCCCACAACCCTGGCGCGGCCCCTTTAAGGCCTATCCGCCAGGATCCGTTAAGGCGCCCCAGCCCGAGGAGCGCGAGGCGCTCGCGCCGGCCCTCACCTATCAGAGGACTCCGCGTCATCGAACTGCCCCGGCACGGCCCGGCTCATCACCACCGCGCGGTAGTCCATGGCCAACACCTCACCTCGCCTCTCCGCCACCAGTGCCCTCCGCGCAGACTCCGGAGCGGGACGGCGCGCGCGAAGGCCAAAAAGCTGCGAACGTCGAACGCACTCTTTTTTTCTGCCCACCTCCCTCACAAGGGGCAGAGCTTAGAGGCCACGGAAGGCCCGTGGCTGGTGCAGGGTTCTGTCAATCATCTGAGGACCCGCCCATTGCGTCAGCAGCGCTGATCTGCAATCGGCCAATCGGTGGGTGCTGCCTGTGGAACGCTGCAGCCGGGAGCTGGGCTGTGCCAGGGAGGGGGTGACTTGTGCCAGTAGCTGCTCACATCTGGGCGAAGCTCCTGCTCCCGCCGCTTTTGGGCCGTGGGGTGCTGCTCCCTTGGGAGGGGGCAGGCTGTGCCCCGCAAAAAGAAGAGGGGCATAACGTTGGTTTTCAAAGCCTGGGACTCCTTATTGAACCTGGTGACTTGCCTGTTCGGGCTCTAGCCTTACCTCCCTGCATGCGACTTTGCTGCCTCAGGCCAAGGCGGGCAGGACAGCACTGTCTCAGAGGCGATGGATCTGGGGGTGGGGGGTTGCCCTACACTTGCACCCCGCTTTAATTCCCGCTCCTGCCACAGTTTAAAACCTGTGGCAGCAGCATTTCAAGTCAGGTAGCAGTGAGGGAGTCACTCTGTGGCCCATTGCCATCTCCCCGATCCCTTCTAAACTGGCGTTTCTCAACCCATGGGTTGCGGCCCAAAAGTCAGTTGCAAGAATATACGAAAGGGTTGCAAGCAACCTTTAGAAATGGATCAACAAACCTTAAAAATGGATTCTCCTTTAAAGGAGGAAAACGTGGGAAACAGTGGCTTTCCCCTTGCAGGCTGGCAGAGTTCCCCCAGGCCTCACGCATCCCCCCTGCCCTTCATACCCATCCCCTGCCCCAGGCAGTTAGAGTGGGAGGCATTCACACCCATCTCCTGCCCCAGACACTTAGAGTGGGAGGCAGCGGGGGTCAGAAGTGAGGAGCCCTGGGTCGGGACTGGCCACTGATGTTTACAAATGGTACAAAAAAGGTTGAGAACCACTACTCCAAACTCTTTGTTCCACAGTATTAACCACTGCTCTTCTTTTTAAAGGTCTTGATGTTTCCCCAATCAAGCCATCCTTTGTTCTGCCCTGCTGCTGCCTGTTCCCTGCTTCTGCTGGTGAAGATCCTATCTCACTGCCCTGCAGGTTATTTTTAACTTGTTCCTAGACACTTCTATTTGGTTTTGTTTCCATCTTAACATAATACAGCCCCAGCCCTCTGGCATATTAGTAAAGCCTTGGGTTTATTTTTAACTGGAGAAAAATAAATGTTGTTTTATAGGTGTTGATGCATCTCACCATCTGCCCCTCACCCCTTTTCCAAATTCTAGATCTGCCCATGCAACTGTCCCCCATCTAGAAACTGCCCTAGAAGAGAGGTGTGACTTCTGTAAAAGGATCAATTTTAAACTCTACCGCTTCTGCAAGCAGCCTGTAAGAGGGTGCAATGCCCTGAGGAAGCAGATCTGGCACTTGACGTGCTATGCTGGGGCTCAGGAGATGGGATTCATTTCCTGGCTCTGCCACAGACTTCCCATGTGACCTTAGGCAAGTCACTTCCCTGCCTCTCTGTTCTACCCACTGGTAACATGGAGATGATAATGCTTCCTTTTCTCACATGGAGCTTGTAAGCTTTGGTGCACATATGCTTGGGAAGAATTCAGGGAGGACATAGACAAGGCTCACATAAATACCTGAAAAGACAGACTATAATAAACAGTGGGGCACACATAGTCTAGTGGAGACAACTGGAGAAGCCTGGACTAAGGAGGCTGGTCTCTAGTTTCTGGTGTGCTGCTTTTTTGCAGCGTGATCTTTGGAATGTTATGGCCAGACCTATGTGGCTGTGCAGGGTCATGAGATAACCCCATACCCCCACCTTATACCATGCAGCTTTCCCATGACCCCTGGCAAGCATAAAGGTGGGAGAAACGTATTCCTACCACTTCTTCCCATGCCCATACAGATAAGCAAAGAGCAGATGATGTTACAACATCCGACACCCTTTTTCAGGGGGAATGGGAGGAACAGGGCCAGAATTCTGGAAGAGCAGGTTCAAGCAAACTTGTTGAATAACACAACCATAACCCCATTACTGGTAAACTACAGCTAACAGCAGATCAGCCAAGGGTGAGGGACCTCATCTTCCACTGGGAGGCCCAGTACTTAACACTGGTTATAGTTAGAGGTCTATCTAACTCAATGAGGCAGCTGGCCAGTTTCATAGGGAGATTGCAGGGTTGGCTGCCATATTCATGGATTTATAGTGGCAGGGCCCTCCCATGCCTCTGATTGGCCAAGGGGCCCAGTGGCCCTGCCCCTCACCGATGATTCGCTCAGAGGGCTGTCCATCACACGGCCTTGCCCTCCCTGCAAATTGGTGGAGGGGGCAGGGCCACATGACAGGCACACCTCTCAGCCAATCAGCAGTAAGAGCCAGGGTGGCAGACATCTTGGGCTTTCATAGTTTCACAGTTTCTAGGGTCGGAAGGGACCTGAGCAGATCGTCTAGTCCGACCCCCTGCCATGGCAGGAAAGAGTACTGGGGTCAAACGACCCCAGCAAGGTGTTCATCTAACCTCCTCTTAAAAACCCCCAGGGTAGGAGCCAGCACCACCTCTCTTGGAAGTTGGTTCCAGACCCTAGCTGCCCTGACCGTGAAATAGCGCCTCCTGATGTCTAACCTAAACCTACCCTCTGCCAGCTTGTGACCGTTATTCCTGGTCACTCCTGGCTGTGCTCGGGGGAACAGTGACTCCCCCAGCGCCTGCTGATTCCCCCTGACTAGTTTATAACAGGCCACAAGATCCCCCTCAGCCTTCTCTTATGGAGGCTGAACAGGTTCAGGTCCCGTAGCCTCTCCTCATAGGGCCTGCCCTGCTGTCCCCTGATCATGCGAGTGGCCCTCCTCTGGACCCTCTCGATGCTGTCCACATCCCTCTTGAAGT